CATGTCCAAGGAGAAAAGAACATTGTAGCCGACTGTCTCTCACGACCTGAGGTAGACGCAATAACATCACCCATCACCATTGACTTTGACCGGTTAGCTGAAGCTCAGACAACTGATGAAGGTCTACAAGAAGCTCTGCAGGACCCCACAAGCTCTTTAAACCTTCAACACATTGTCATACCAGATAGCGAACGACCCCTATACTGTTCAATCCAAGATGGACGTGTACGTGTGTACGTGCCGGCGACCTTCCAGAGGGATGTTTTCTTGAAGTTCCACACCCAGTCCCACCCTGGACACGCTGCTACGCTGAGAATGATCGCCGAACGCTTCGTGTGGCATAATATGAACCGTCAAGTCAAGCAGTGGTCCAGAGAGTGTCTTCAATGTCAGCGGGCCAAAGTAGGACGTCATACTGTTACACCCGTGACACCACTAGGAATGCCTGACGAACGATTTGCCCACATACATATCGACATTGTGGGACCACTTCCACCTAGTGACAATTTTCGATACCTACTCACGATCATTGATCGATTTACGAGATGGCCTGAGGCTATCCATAGGGATAACCTCACGAATAGTCGTGAGATAACTACTGAAGTAGTGGTACAAAAGCTCCTCGAAGGATGGATATCCCGCTTTGGTGTACCAGCGACCATTACTACAGACCGAGGCAGACAATTCGAGAGCCAGTTGTTCCGCCAGCTTAACACAGCACTTGGAGTACAGCACATAAAGACGACTGCTTATCACCCACAATCAAATGGATGTATCGAACGCTTTCACCGAACCCTCAAGGCTGCACTCGTCGCTGCTGATGTCGTATCCTGGGCCGAAGCTCTTCCCCTCGTCATGCTGAGCCTGCGGAACACCTTTTTAAACCGGACATCGCCTGTACAGCCTCCGATTTAGTGTTTGGTGCACCAGTTCGCCTCCCTGGACAGCTATTTGTTCCAAGTGCTACCCCAACCGACGAACACCGATTTGTTCAACGACTCCGTGAGACCATGGGAGCTTTGAGGCCTGTACCAACGAGCAACCACTCAGTTCGCACCGCCTATGTCCATCCCGACCTACAGACGACTACACATGTCTTCATACGTAACGACAAAGTGAAGCCTCCATTGACACCTCCATATAGCGGCCCGTACAGAGTTGTGGAACGAGATGACAAGTTTCTAACGGTGGACGTCCAGAATGTTACTCAACGAGTCTCCATGGATCGACTGAAGGCAGCATATGTTCCAGCATCTCATCAACTGGCGGAGGAACATTCATACGCCAACCGTTTGCTGCTCAACGTATGCCAGCAGAACCGTTCGCAACCAGTGGCTTCCTCACTGGGGGGGGAGCCCTGTGGCAGACTTCCGAAGGTAGCAAGTGCCCGCCACAGATTGGTTGGTTCCACGGGAGAATAACAACCCTGAATGGCCGTCCAGCTGATATCTGTCAATCGAGGAAGAGGAAGGATTATTCTGTGGATAGACATTCGACCTTCAACATTCACGTTTCGCGCCAAGAAACCGAATTCTAATGTTTTGTAATAGTTATTTAGTTTGTAACAATTGATCGAGTTAATTAAATGACTTAATTATTTAGTGTGCCTAATTTGCTACCCGCAACGGCCACAAACACAACAATAACAAGACAGTGTCTGACCGCATGTTCCAGCTATTTATGAATGAGATGCTCAGTCTATATTTTATTTTAAGTCTATGGTTACAGCAGATTCGAGTCAGTAGCGTGCGGCTTAATATATTTTGATTTTTTCTTGAGTGATATATTTTCTTTTTGTTGTTTTATTTTTGTTTATTATGTGATATATTTGGGTTTTCTAGTTTTATTTTCGTTTCTTATGTAATATAATTGCCAATAGGTGCCCGGTGGCCTAGAGGTACAAGCTCTCGTCTACCAATCTCAAGGTAGTGGGTTCGAATCCCACACCCGGCATTTCATCAGCCGACAATTTTTATTAAAATAAAAATAGTTTGGGTACCTAAGTCGACTCAGTCTTAAATGAGTACTTGGGATTCACAATCCTGAGGTAATAATAGACGGTTGAAGCGTAGTGCTAGCCACATTACCTTCCTTTGTATACCGAACGGCTCTAGTATGGCAAGCTGTACCTTGCTACTCCTAAGGCGTCAAACGCTATATACGGGAGCTATTATTATTATGTAATATAATTATTTGTTTTATTAGTTTTATTTTTGTTGTTCAATAAAAGTTTCTTTCTGTTTCCTAGAGATCCTATTAGGTATGTATATATGTAATTAATTATTTTAACATATTTTAGTTGTGAAAAAAAACAGTAGTATACAATTAGGACATTCAGCTAAATAGGAAGATCTAATTAAAAATCTTAACAAACTTTAATACTGTGTGATCAACAAAAACGGCGTCCATTTGGCTAGGAAATGACGATCGATGACATTTCCCATATAAATTTACATATAAAGTGACAGCGACCTTCATTTCATAGCCATCGCTGACGCCAGGGCCGGCGGAAGGGCCGGGCGATCCGGGCGGCCGCCCGCGGCGCCATATACGAGGGGTGCCACGACGGCAACTAAAATATTTAAAAACAGTAATGAAAAAAAAGAGTAACGAATAACCAAATCAATAATTAATCGGCACTATCAATTTCCACATTAAAATATTACAAATTACCACACCACATAGATTAAATATTATAAACAATACTATATCCTAGACGTATCCTATTATAGTTTACTGAAATTAATTCTTAATACCCTCTGTGCGCCGTCGGCGCCTGCAAAGGCAGAAATAAATAAATTTTCGTTCCGGTAAAAGCGAGAACGCCGATGAACGCTGGTTGACGGCTCCTACCTGCTTTCACTGTGAACTGCCGATTTGATAACACGCTTTAATTTTTCAAGGTTATAAGCGCGAGGCGGCGCGGCGCGGCGCTACCATATGGCTCATATACAGGGTGTCCCAGAAATGCAAGTATTTTAACTTAACTGGTAATATAGTTCAACCCAGAAACACGCCCATAGGGGTTTTTCTAAATATTTTTTTGAAAATTCGGAATTTTTGAAAATATTTTGGAATTTTTGCAATTTTTTTGGTTTTTTATTTGAAATAATTTCTTGATAATATGGCAACATAGAGTAGTGAATTAAATTTATAAGAAGAAAATCAGAAAAGATCCAGTGGTTCTCAAACAAATCTCAGTATTGGAAAAGAATATGGCAAGGACCAAGAACTATTGACTACAATACAAAACGACGAAGCAGCATATTTTAGGTATATTTTCGAAATAAAATATAGTTTCTAGCTGATCGTTGAGAGACAGGCATCGGGCGTAAACGGTTTTCCATGCAGAATTTATGATGGTTTTAATATAGGAAGGCAAGTGTAGTATCTTTGGCTCAAGACAGGAGAATTCCAATTGATGGTCGCCAACCTCTCCGATGAGGAGAAGGCACATGAAGAAAGTTCTCAAAATTTGAGCAAAAAATCATTTTTGGAAATTTTAAGAAATAAATAACTCCGTTATTTTGGACTTATTGAAAAAACGATAAGAGAAAATATGTTTCTTTATCGAGATCTACCACCCTTTAAAATACTTGCACTTATTTCTGGGATACCCTGACAACAATACACGTGATGCGTATACGCAAAGGTTGCGAACGATGTCAAGAATAGACACCAGATTGGCGCGGGCTACCAGTAATGACAAACCTGCTTTCTAGTTTATTAGTTGTGGCTTTTTTTAAAGTCGTATTAAATAATATATTTCAGTTAAAAGTATGAATTATCTTGAGTGTATTCTGAATATTTCTAAGATTATAAAAATAATTAAGGAATTGTTTGTAGTGCTTTTTGCCGATTGTTCATAATAAGCTGCCATGATGGATACAGAGCCAGCTTTGTTTGTTTGCTCTGTTCTGTTTATGCCATATTTTTTATCTTGGCTTGCATTTCCTTCTATTCTATTTCTTTATAATGTTTTATATTTAAAATCAGAGGCATTTTATAAGGTGTAAGACTATTCAACCTTCCGCATGGAAATTAGTATCCGTTCAATGCTTTAAAGTCTCAACGGAATATGCAAAATATTGCCAATATTTGCCACTGCCAAAAACATTGATTTAAATAGATTCTTAAAGGAAATAGTCTTTACTAACTAACATCCATCCTCAACACCAAATATCGTCTATAAATATAGAAATTACTTTCAACATCTAGCATCTCATCAATTGCTTAGTTTTGCACAGAATGGCCCTATTTGATCAATTGGAAGGTTTCAGAGCAGGGGAAAAATATTGTGTAGGAAAAATGGGGTTCCATATTAACGGCCTCTCCCTCTGAAATTAATAATTAATATTACTAGCAAAAAAGCAAAAAAAATCATAAAACATAATTTTGGCCAACTTTTATTTCTTAATACCCCCTGTGCGCCGTCGGCGCGTGCAAAAGCAGAAATAAATAAATTTTCGTTCCGGTAAAAGCGAGAACGCCGGTGAACGCTGGTTGACCGTGCCTGCCTGTTTTTACTGTGAACTAGCCGATTTGATAACACGCTTTAATTTTTCAAGGTTATAAGCGCGAGACGACGGCGACGCGGCGCGGCGCTACCACAAAATAGAAATCAACCAGAAGGTTGGTATGGTATGGTAATGATGAGCTGCCTCCCTCACTGTGGCAGCTCTATGGCTCTGCTTCCTATGAAGGTGCAATTTGCCAGCGCATTAGTTTTGATTGCAGGCCGTCTGACTTTTCGTCATGCTGCAATCAGTGATTTTAGTTCCTGAAATTAATCTAATTACATTTAAGTAAGGGATATCTGAAGTGTGTGCTTGTTTGCATTGGTTAAATCGTGACTGTTGGTATCTGGACAACACAAACAAAGGTCTAGACTCTTCTCTCTCCCGCCCGCGGAGGAGCATTACACAAATGGTGCGGATCGGATGGATGAGGATTGGTGTTGTGGTGTCAAGCCTAAATAAACGAGGATGTATTGGTTGAAGTTATAATTCTAGTTTGTTTTTGTCTATAAAAGCGTTGATGAGATTAATGGTTTTTAGCTTGGCACGTTGGCTGAGCCACTGTCTGCATACTGAATGGTGTAGTGTGGCGTCTTTTATTAGTTTTGTGTATAGATCTGTTTGAGGATAGGTTCTCAGGGGGCATGCCAAGAATATATGGTTTATATTTTCTATTTTTCCACACTCGCAAAGTGGGCTGTCAATTATTCCTATTCTATTCAGATGGACCTTTGTGCGACAGTGTCCTGTTTTAAGTCGTATGATGTTGGTTATGTCCTTTCTTCTGGCGTATTTTAAATTGTCAAACCATCTGGTTTTGGGAAATTTTTTAACGATTTCTGAGTACCATCCCCCCTTGTTGGTGGCTGTTGTTTTCCATTTTTGGGAAAATTCTTCTGTAAGTTTGTGTTTAATAACTGCTAGTATATCTGCCTTGTCGATTTTGATGTTCTTGGGTACATTGAGTGACCTTCCAATATTTGCGAGTTTATCTGCAGCTTCGTTTCCACTTATATCTGTGTGACTTGGTATCCACGTTAGGTGTATTTTCGTTCCGCTATTGTTTGCTTCTAATAGGAGTTTTTTGGTTGATAGTGTGATCGAGTCATTTGAAGTGTTTACCCCGGGATATCGAATCTTGTCAATGGCGCTTTTAGAGTCTGAGAGGATTACAACATTTCTTAGCTCTTTGCACAGAGAAATAATAATTGCCTTGTTAATTGCAACTATTTCCGCTGTGCAAATTGTTACTTCCTCTGGTAGTCTTTCTGCATAGTTGATAGGGGGATTGTTGCAATAGACTCCGTAGCCCGCGTTGTTTTTACCCTTGGAGGCATCTGTATATATGAACGTGTGGTTGGATCTAATGTTTTCGGTGATTTCGTAGAATAAGTTTTTGTTAGAAACTTGGCTTTTTTCCAGATTCAGATCGATCACCTTTATCATTTTTATCTGATGTTGTAGTTGCATTTCGTAGCATGGTGCCCTGTCATTTTTGTATATTTTGTTAGAGTATTTGTCTAGGTAGCCCAGAGCAGTGACTAGATAAGGCGTCTCCTTGTTCCTCCAGAAGTTTGCATTTTTTGCAAGTGATTTCCTGATGTTTTTTAAGAGTGTTGTTAATGGGTGGTCATTATGAGAGTAGATTTTTAGGAGAAATTTTACGGAAAGATTTTTTCTTCTATGGTCCATTGATTGTTCTTTTGCCTCTGCCAATAACGCCCATGTCGGGGTAGATTTCATGCATCCCAGAATAGTTCTCAGGGATTGAAATTGTGTTTTGTCTATCTTCTCTAGGCCGGTTTTATTTGTTGGTTTAATGAAAATGGAACCATAGTCTAGGTGCGACTTTACAATGCCGTTGTAGATTACTAGGAGAGTTTTCGGGTCGGCACCCCACCAAACTCTGGTCAAATTCTTTATAATGTTTAGACCTTTTTGCGCTTTGTTTACTTGTTCTGTGATGTGGGGGGTCCATTTTAGGTTTTTGTGTAGTATTATGCCGAGGTATTTGGTTTTATCTGTGTAGGGAATTCTTTTATTATTGTACAGCAGGTGAGGGGGGTTGAGTAACCGTCGGCCTTTCGTAAACCATACCGCTTTGCTTTTTTCCTCCGAAATACTAAGATTGTGGTTTTTTAAAGAAGCCCACCTTGACATGATTTTTCAATGAGTTATTCAGTTCTTCTGCCATATAAAGTTGTTTGCGTGCCTGTGGTGAATAATGTTATGTCGTCCGCGTACCCTAAGTTGTCGTTTTCGGAATATAAGAAATAGATCTCTTATGTATATGTTAAAGAGAATGGTGCTGAGCGGCGAACCCTGTGGAATTCCCGCATTGGCCTCCCCTGGGCCGATCCAAACTCCTTCTTTATTTCTAATAAACATCGCCCTGTTGGAGTTGATTCTAAATATTAGATTGTTTAGACTAGAAGTGATTCCAGCATTTGCTAGTTTTTTATACAATTTTGCTATGTCTACATGGTCGTATGCTGATTTTATGTCAAGAAATACCGCAAGTACCGACTGATTGTGGGTGAAGGCGTTAGTAACAGCAGTAGTTAGGTATGCGATGTTGTTGTATGTACCCATTCCTTTTCTATATGCTGTCTGAAAGTGGTTGAAGTACTTCATATTTTCAAGTTTCCAGTCTAGTCTATTCTTTATGATAATTTCTAACGTTTTAAGGTAACAAGACGACAGGACTATGGGTCTAAAGTTCTTTGGATTGTTAGGGTCCTTGTTAGGCTTTAATATGGGAATGATGGCATATTTTTTCCAGGCTTCGGGGATAGGTTTTCCTTGTAGGCATTCATTGTAGATGTTTAACAGTATATTGCTTGCTTTTTCTCCTAGGTGACTTAGCATAGGATAGTTAACCTCATCCATTCCGGGGGCAGAACTGGTTTTTCCTTTGAGGCTATGTGTTAGTTCTTCCAGATTGAAAGGAGGGTCTGCTGTCTCCAGTGGTTGCAGTGAGAAGTTTGGTGTTATGTTTGTTATTGAGTTGTCTTTTAGTATTTCCTCGGATATTGTGTCACTGGGTATAGGTAGTCTTGCATTCGCGTGTGTGCCACCAAATTTCTTTATCTTGTTCCATATATAGGTTATGTTTGTATTTCTGTTAAGTGTCCCACAGAATTCCTTGAAGCTGTCTTTTTTTTTCTATTCAATTGTTTCTTTGATAAGGCGATTTGTCTCTTTGCTTGTATAAAATTCTGCAGGTTGGGACTGGATCTAAAGTTGCTAATGGCTTTCCGTCTCTCTTTGACAATCGAGGAGCATTCCTGGTCCCACCATGGATTACCTTGTGGTTTTATTTGGTTTGTCTTAGTTTCTGGTATACTTTTTTGAGCTGCTGCCTCCACTATGCTGTGCAGGTCGTCAAAGCCAGCATTCAAGTCTAATTGGTTTGTCATTTTGCCTATCTCAGTTTCATACCTTGTCCAATTGGCTTTTCTGAAGTTTTTCCTAGGAAACGTAGAATGTCTGATGTTTGTGTTGCCCACCAGAGTGCACATTGTTGGGTAGTGGTCACTAAATCCGGGGTCTGGGATGAGTGACCATATTGTTTTTAGAGTGAGGTTGTTAGAGACAAGTGTGAGGTCTAAAGGACTTTCATTGGTGTTGTTGGCAAATCGTGTTGGTGCTTCGTTATTTATTATTGAAAAAGTTTTTTGTTAATAAAGTTGTATAAGGATTAATCCCCTGTGGTTGTTTTTTGCTTCCCAGTACACATGATGTGCGTTAAAGTCTCCCATTATTATATTTTTCTTATTGTTGATGTCTATTGTCGTTTCTAAGTCTTGTGGCGAGATGTTATATTGGGGTGGGAGTAAACATTTGTGATGTTAAGATCATCGTACATGGTGAGTGTTTGAAGTTGCGAGATATTGTTGCTATTGCTGTTGATTACGTTGAACTTTATGTTTTTTTTGACACATGTGGCTATGCCACCGTAGCCGTCGTCTCTATCTTTTCGCATTTGTTCTCTATCTTTTCGCATGTTTGTGTCGCCAGAAGGTTGACTCTCAAAATGCGCGCGAAACGGTGGCTAACCTAAAAATTCCTTTATGAGCGGGTAACACCTGTCAATGTAGCGGCGTTACCGGTTTAGTCAGGGCAGGTCAGGGTTTAGTTGAATTCTGACGATCGCATAATAGGAATATATCACATAAATACGAATTTTAAAGCGGAACAAATAAAAATAAATTATTAATAAGGAGAAATAAATTGATATTAAACAAATGCATAGATTGTTTTTATTTTAAACTGTGATAACCCATCTTAACACAATACTTATTACCTACCTATATACTATCATAATTTTATTATTATAATGAGCCCGATTTATCTGGGTAACATTGTGTTCAAGCAAACTTTCCCACAGCATTAAAAAAACATTTTATTTTTGATAATGTACCCAAAACGCAGAACGATGCCTCTAACAAATAAATTCAGGATTGTAAACTGTTACACTTTAGAAAGTACCTATAGCAACGCAATTTGCGTAATTTCCCACACCATAAAACTTTTAGAAAGGTGTAGGGATGACCACGGGTTTTGCCAACCAGTAAACGCAGCTCAAGGGTTCAGTAGAAAGTTGACCTTTAATTAATTGGTTTAGTTTATTTTTAAAATTCACGATCTCTACCCATTTCCAAATTTTTGACTACGCATATATTATCTGCCTACCTACTAATTGCAAAAAAACTGCTGCATAAAAATTACATGTGGTGGTATCTATACAATATAAACTTTACCTTTCGAAATAACGTATTACGTTCAGTCTGTAATCACATACCTATCAGATAATAAAAATACTTATTCAATATAACCCTGACAACAGACTGCGAAAGTGTTTTAATCCGGCCCTGAGAGTTACCCGCTGCCATAGACTTAAAATAAAATATAGACTGAGCATCTCATTCATAAATAGCTGGAACATGCGGTCAGACACTGTCTTGTTATTGTTGTGTTATTGTTTTAGGTTATAACGAGTGCGACACGAGCGATAGATAGGTTGTCTCTGTCGTAACGGTCGTTCCCTGACGACGCTCTGCCGAGAAACACAACACTGTCTTTCGTTTCTCAACACCTGAACTCTCCGTATCATAGCCGGGTAATTTTTTTATTTTAATGAAGCTATAATTAAATTAAAAATATATCGTATTTAAACTTTTTATATTTTATTAAGATTTAGGACAGTTTTTTAAATAAAGAAAAAACAATTAGAGTCCAAAAAGGATAAAAATAATGAAATACACGTTATAGAAGAAATTTTATAATCGAAATTAGGTAATTTTTGAAATTAATAATAAATTATTAATTTTGGCAAACATTTAACCCTAATATTAATCAAAACAGGATCTATTCCACAGATATAATAGAAACGGCGACAGGGAGAAAAAAAATATGATTGTTGTAATTTTTTTCTCTAGTTAAAGTGATATTATGTAAATTAGAAAACATAAATCTGTTCCATTAAAGCAAGGAAGGTGATAGGAAGTGGATAAAATAAAAACACATTTGGCTAACTCGGTACTGTCTTTATTATACCGGGTGCACGTCTCAAAAATTAGCTCATCACGAATTTTTATATTTTCAAATAAAAAACAAGATTTAGTATGTTAGTATATGAAATAAATTAGGATTGATTGACGCATTCAATTGTTTTGGTCACTTCCTGTTTCACCGGAAATGACTATAACTTTAATTACAAGCAGCACCCTCGGTATATTCTACTTTATTCGATGAAAATGACTCTGAATAGAATGACATATCATATGTCAACTTTGACATTTTCGCATATGGTTTAATTGGTGTAACACGCGGTTCATAACGACAATTTGACTCGAAATACCAAGTGTGTGAGGTATCCAATATATTCACTTAAAAATGCTTTTCCAAATATGCTAATGAGTCACCCTTGTTCCATTTAACTTGATATATGTATATGATTAAAATACGATTTGTACATCTTTTAACCGAGCCTAGACAAGACACACGAAAACTAGATCAAAACTATTTTCCAAGGCTCCTTGATTAAAAACCTAATTAGTTGAAAAAACTGGATTGAAATTTAAAATAGGATATGTTTTAAGCGACAATGTCAAAAAGTTGACATGATAAGTCATTCTATTCAGAGTGTCATTTTTTATCGAATAAAGCAGCAGCAATATACCGAGAGTGCCTTTAAAATCAAGATGTAATCATTTCGGTGAAACAGGAAGAGACCAAAAACAATTGAATGCGATCAGCCAATCCTAATTTATGTCATATACCTACTAACTGCTTTAAATCTGTTTTTTATCAAAATAAAAAAAAGTTATAGGGTTGAGCCACTTTTTGAGACGACCCGGTATATTAAAAATATTGTTTCATAATGTAATCATTTTAAAAATTCTTGTACGTTATTTTAGATTCTGAAGATAATTTTAGAATAAACCATATTTTTAATAAAAACATTATTAATTATTAACAGGGTTATAGTATGATTTTGTTACAATGTAAGTAAGTAAATAATGTAATGTAAAAGAAAAATTCAGATTTTACATTTTACTAAAAATATTATCTAAATAAGTGCCTTTCTACAACAACGCCACTGACTGTAATGGGGTAAGAGTGAGAGTTGCCTACCGATTAAAAAGTCGTTTCAAGACGCAAATGGATTATTTTGAAGTCGAAATTTCTTCTACAAATTTGGCACTGGCGAACCATATTTTATAGTTTTTGAACAGAAAAAAGTCAATAAAATAAACACTTAAGGACTACAAGCTAAGAAAATGCGTTAATACCACCGTGCAGTGTTAATACATACAACCAGGGAGATAGCGGCAACAAAGCTTTACCGCACACGTGGGACACGTACTACAAGGTAATAAATGAATGAATAGGCTCCCTCGCTTGCCTCTAATCGGTGTTGCGTCATGGCTAGCCAAAGAGACATCATATTAAACAGTGTCAAACTTATAATTTAGTAGTATAAGGACTATTTAATAAATATGGAATATTAAAACCTACTTTATTAAACTGTAGTATTAATATCTCAATATATGTGTATAACAAAAAAAAAATATTGATAATATTAAAGACGTGACAACATAGGCTGGATGAGGAAGGCTCGGTCGACTGTACCCAGAAGTAAACATGTGTACAAA